CTGAGGCTGGCCAGGACAAGCAGGACCGGGTAACCCAGCAGTTACTCATGGAGAGCTGCCAGTGGCTTTGGGCCAGTGGCACGGCCAGCCAGTCCCCAAGGCCAGCAGCCCCAGGGATGCTCAGGCAGAGCCAGGTTGTTGTCTGCTGCTCCACTTCACTGGGCTCCTGGTGATCCAGCAGGCAGCCAGCAGCTCCACGCCATCATCCCTGCCCTCAGCCACTTCTCCTGGAAGTGATGGCTTGGTGCACGAGATACTTCCTTGGGTGGATGGGAGAAGAGGGAGCACAGCACAAGGCTGCAGGAAGGAGCTTTGGGCAGGATGGTGACCATTCATACCCTGGAGGAGGAAGCAGATCTATTAGACTCCCTCTCCTCCCCTGCCCAAAGGGCCCTTCCCCTCCAGCCAGCACTTGGTAGCTGGTCTTCTTCAGTTCATTACTGATACGTCCTCTTCAAGCTGATGCCTGGTTTGCAGGGAGCTTTGCAAGGTGGAGTAGCTACTAGAAACTGCATTACAGAGAAAGTGAGGTTGGGAGGACCTCTGGAGGTCTCCAGTCCAACCTCCTGCTCCCACCAGGGCTGGCTGCAAAGCTCAAGTAGAACATGTTCCCTCCCATGACCTTCCAACCCCACACATCCCTGGGGACACCAGGTCCTGTGAGGACCTTCTCCGAGCAGCCGCATCCCCAGGTACCCCCCGGAGGCCCTGCAAGCAAAGCCCTGCTCCTGTCTCAGAAATGCCATTTTCTGCGTTTGCCAGAGTGCTCTAACTGGCCTGAAACAGCACCATTTTCAGCGTTACCATGGCGATGGCAGCCTGGTAAATGCGTGCAACGGAGATGCACAGGAACAGCAGAGTCCAGCCAGGCAGAGGTGCTGGTGGCCGGTCCTCAGCTGGCACCGCTGCCCCTCAACCCCCCCCAGCCACTTCTCCTGCCGCCAAGGGTCTGAGCCCGTGATGTGCAGCAGGAGCTGCGGATGAAGGTAACTCCACACACCCACCCGTGCTCTGTGCACCCAGCACCCCCAGCCCAGTGCTCCCAGTCCAGCTCAGCCCATGGCTGTAGGAGAGACTGTGGCAGGAACATGTCAGGAGTAGATGCTTCAGGCAATTAATGCATTGGCATATGTAGATTTTATGAGGGTTTTTTTTTTTTCTTTATGCTTCCTTACCACAAAAGCTGAGCTCCCCCACAGATCTGCCAGTGTCCCTCTCCAGCCAGGACCCTGTGTCTGGCCCCCAGCTGGTCTCACCTGGCCGCCCTCCAAATCTCCTGTCCTGCCCGCAGCAGAGCCCCAGTGCGGTGGAGCAGGGGATCGTCAGATCACCGGGTTTGCTGTGACATGTCTGGCCACGCCATCTCCTGCCTCGTCCCCTGCAGGGCTGAGGCTGGCCAGGACAAGCAGGACCGGGTAACCCAGCAGTTACTCATGGAGAGCTGCCAGTGGCTTTGGGCCAGTGGCACGGCCAGCCAGTCCCCAAGGCCAGCAGCCCCAGGGATGCTCAGGCAGAGCCAGGTTGTTGTCTGCTGCTCCACTTCACTGGGCTCCTGGTGATCCAGCAGGCAGCCAGCAGCTCCACGCCATCATCCCTGCCCTCAGCCACTTCTCCTGGAAGTGATGGCTTGGTGCACGAGATACTTCCTTGGGTGGATGGGAGAAGAGGGAGCACAGCACAAGGCTGCAGGAAGGAGCTTTGGGCAGGATGGTGACCATTCATACCCTGGAGGAGGAAGCAGATCTATTAGACTCCCTCTCCTCCTGCCCAAACAGGGCCCTTCCCCTCCAGCCAGCACTTGGTAGCTGGTCTTCTTCAGTTCATTACCGATACGTCCTCTTCAAGCTGATGCCTGGTTTGCAGGGAGCTTTGCAAGGTGGAGTAGCTACTAGAAACTGCATTACAGAGAAAGTGAGGTTGGGAGGACCTCGGGAGGTCTCCAGTCCAACCTCCTGCTCCCACCAGGGCTGGCTGCAAAGCTCAAGTAGATCACTCAGGACCTCACCCTCTCATTTTGAAAATCTCCAAGGATGGAGGTGCCACCGCCTCTCCAGACCCCATCCCAGGGCTGCACCACCCTCCTGGGGAATTTTTGTCACTCAGGACCTCACCCTCTCATTTCGAAAATCTCCAAGGATGGAGGCTCCACCGCCTCTCCAGACCCCGTCCCAGGGCTGCACCACCCTCCTGGGGAATTTTTTCCTTGCGTCCAACCTGTGTTTCCCTTGTCCCTGTCCATGGTCTCCTGCCCTTCCCTACGTCCCTCTGAGACAAGCCCGGCTCCATCTTCACCCCAAAAATGCAGAATGACTTGTCACAAATGTTACTCACCAACAGAGCCACGTGGATGTTTGCTGCTTTTCCCCATCACCTCTAAATGCCACGAAGCAAAACCCAAGCCGAGAGCAAAGCTGCTGGGCTGAGCACAGCACCGCCCCCAGCCACAACAGCCCGCCGCAGCATT